CCCCAAAACCCCAAAACCCCAAAACCCCAAAACCCCGCCAGATGTAATTTAGATTGATTTTCAAATTCAGTGAATTGAGATTTAAATTTCAGAAATAAATATCGATTAACTTAGGAATTATCGAAGGAGTGATTTATAAGGCTCAGTACATAGGGATTATGAGTTGTAGTAATCATAACATCATCTATCTGGAGAATATTTGATTTTTGCCTGGATGGTCGTCATAGTTTACCATTCTAGTGTTGTTTGGTTGAACAGTGCTGTAATCAGCAGTATTAAAGTTGACATGACGATTTTAAACCATACCCTATGTATCTCTATCAAAAGATTGATTTCTGGCAATTTCATTATATTAGTCCCCGTGAATGCTCTTCATCGAACTTCTTTGAAATACATTACTATCATTCACCCCATGTTATGGTGAAGAGAACATTTAATTATTAGGGTCTTTTCTGTTGTTAAACTAGCTCTTCATTTTGTTGAATACCTCTAGCTATTGCTACAGTTCTCTTCCTCCTGGGTAGTTGTATTATGGCTCAAGAGGATTAACATTTCTTTAATTGTCTTTCTTTGTTGTTTTTAGAAAGCTGCCAGCATGAGTTCCTTGAATATCGCTCGTCTTCATAAGATCTTTTCCTTGCAATGGCTGACCATAGTAATCATACTTCTCAGGGAATACTTCGATTTTAGATTTATACAAGGATTTAGCACTCATTGTATCTGGGGATAAAGTGCTCATTGAAACATCAAGAGTCTTTTGAGGTTCTGGTCTTAATAGTGCATACTTTTAATTAGTTAGCCAAGTGGGCTCTATACGATTATTAAGCATTTCTTGAACATCTTGAGCTGTTACCTTTGGCCTAGCTTCTTCAACATTTCTTATTTGTTAAGCAGTAGCTACAGGTTTTTGATAGAATTAAACTTGATTCAAGGGATCTCTCATTGACTGGTACAGCCTCTTCTTTTGATTCAAATCTGAAACGTCCATAAGATCATAATTCTTTGGTTTCAATCTCTTATCAAGCTTTGGTGAGGTGCCCTCAATATCCTTCGCACTAATGATATCTTTTGCTACTCCTCTATATATCGATTTAGCTCGAGTACCCTGAATATCATCGATCAACATCGCATCTCTGACAAATCTGGGTGGAGGCTATTCGATCTATTTCTATTTCATTATTTCTCCGTACTTCACAGGTGGTTTATATGGATCACCTGCTGCTCCTCTAGTAGGATCATTATCAGGTCTCACGAAAGACGCCTAGGTATATTATGAATGCCTTGAAAACACTGCAGGTTACTAACTTGCATTTGGCAAAAGGTATTTTTCAGGCTTGTAAAATAGCATATTAATTTGATTATACGATTTTGTTTTTATTAAAATTAAATTTATTACTAACTTGATGATTATCATAACTATCTTAATTATAATTTCAGTTAAGAGATAGCAAAACCTCAGTCAGCCAGACACTCTAGCACAAAACTATAAAAACATTTCCTAAGCAAGTAAAGGTTCAACCCTAGAATTGCATTTGCTTCAACTAGTATTCCCATGTCTTGAATTTGCTTGTCAGATGCAGCTTCCATAAACCAGTTTTTAACAAATTCAGAGAAAACAGAGAATATTTTATCACCAGCAGCAGCCTTAGCCCCAATCCTGAACATCAAATAAAAACCCACTGTTTTGTAAAAAGTGCGCATAATGTTTTCAAAGCAAGAGAATTTGTGCCTGCAAAAGGTGAACTTCCTGAAGAATATCAGAAAGCGCGTTTATTCAGTCATAAAGAAGTAATTTTGCAAAAAAGAGTATTTATTGAAGCAGTATTTTCTCTGTCCAAAAATTCTTCGCATTTCGCTTCTCTCAGGAATGGCCTCTTTGTAAATTAATTCACCGTCGTCATATATACCGTAAAGTTAAAGCTGATTCGGATTACCACTTACTCTATTGATAGTTTCCTCGATCTCAAGATAGCCTTTTGGATTTATTACTCTATATTTTTCTATTAGTCCCTTAGCTTTTCGTTCTTCTTTCATCAGCGTATGTACTCTGAGCAGGGCAAAGTTAGTCTAAGGTAAATCTTTTGCATTATTGACTTTAGCCTTTTACCTGCACAATGGGCAATTAATGATAGAACTTTCCCAGAGCTAAAGAATGCATTTTTCGCAAAAAGTATGACCGCATTGAGCTAGTACTTTAGGAAGGTGCTCCTATTGATTAAATTCTTCAAGGCATAATTCACAATCCATTTTATTACTTATAAATATTAATACAATCGCTAATTAATTATTGAAATAAGAATTTTGTCAGACAATGGGGTTTTGGGGTTTTGGGGTTTTGGGG